TCAGCTTTTTTAAACATAATCCTTGTTCTTAATGTCATATACCTTTAAATTTTTCCCTTTTATTATCAAATTTCCATTTCTTTAAACATCTTTAATCTTAATCTTTAATCTTAATCTATCCTTAGCTTTAACCTGTACAGCTGGAAACCACTTATTTTCAATCCAACATCACTCTAACATTCCTTAATTTTGCAGTGTTTCTGAAGATAGTCTTTGAATTTCTTCCAATCTTCCTCCATCGACTCTTCTCCCTGGTCACGGATTCTGCCAGTCATTTCCGCCAATTCCATGTAGTCCATAAGTTTCATCTGCCATTCCTCCAGCGTGGGAAGTTCTTGTGTCTTCCAATACTTTGCGATGAGTATTCTTGCTGCTGTTGTTGCATACATAAAGAAAGTTCTATCCTTTTTAACACCATTTGGCCCACTATGCCCAGGAGAAAGGCCTCTGGTTTCTTGGGGAAGGTATACTTAAATACCTTTTTAATTCATTATATATCATTTCCCAGAAAACCTTAATCTTTGGGCACGTCCACCAAAGGTGAAAAAATGTACCTTCAGTTTCTTTACATTTCCAACATTTGTTATCGGGCAAGTGATAGATTTTCGCAAGCTTGACTGGGGTTATGTACCACCTGTATATCATTTTCATAATATTCTCTCTTAAGGCATTACATGCCGTAAATTTCATACCAGTGGTCCATAACTGTTCCCAGTCAGCAAACATAATGTTGTGTCCTACGTCCTGTGCCCATTTAATCATAGCCGATTTTACCGTTTCATCTTGAGTATTCCATTTCAGCAGCAAGTTATACATTCTTGACAGATTCTTGGTATTGGGTTCTAACAATTCTGTTTCTAATTTTGATTTTTCCACCTGGAAGCCAATTTTCCTGTCTAATTTAAATGCCTCCATTATTTGATAATAATGAAGCCAGTCTCGCACTTTGTTTTTAATTTTTCAAAACTCTGCAATTTCAGTCTATCTCCGTCTTGTTCCAAAATTTCCCAATATTTCGGCCATTTGACCTCCATATTGACCCTTTTCAAGGCTTTCGCTTCCATTGGTGACAGCCACCTTGGGGTTTTATTTTCTAGCAAATCCTTATATCTAATCCAAACATTAAATAATGCTTTCCTGACAATGTGGTTTTTAAATGCTTTGTGTGCTTTGACCTTATCATACCATAAATATGCATGCCATCCAAATACATTATTGAAACCTTCCAAATCCAAAATGTCAGTGTTTTCAAGAAGTAGCCATTCTTTCAACCAGCAAAAAGCTGCTGATTCATAGTAAAGTTTGAGGTCTGGCAGGGCAAATCCACCTCTTTCCTTTGCATCTGTTAGTATTTTAAATTTTATTCTAGGTTTCTTGCCCTGCCAGACGAATTTAGAAATATCTTTCTGCCACCTCTTGAAGCAGTCCACTTTGTCAACAATCTGCAAAGTTTGAAACAAAAACAACATTCTAGGCAATACATTCATTTTTATCGCAGCAATACGGCCTAGCAGTGAAAGCTTCAAGTTTGACCAAATTTCTAAATCTTTTTTCACTTCTGACCAACATTTTTCATAGTTGTCTTTAAATAAATTCCCATTTTTTGCTGTCATATTAATCCCCAGGTATTTAACTTTCTTAACCACTGTTAACCCTGTCTCATTCTGAAACCCTGTCACATTATCAGTCAAAGCGCATCTTGTCCAGTGGCTAACCAAATGCCTCTGGGAAGCATGCCCTGTCTTGGTTAGGGGGATGCTGTTCAGAGGAGGATCTGGAGCTTAAAGAGTAAGAAGTGGCTCCAATGGGAACTGAGCTGGAGTGAGGCATCTGGGGCCTTCAGGGGTCATGGCACTCCACCCTCTTGCTTGATGCAGAATGGGCACAAAATGAGAGGCAGAAGCTAAGCAGCTACACAGTCCAGAGGAGTGAAGGCACATAAACCTCCATGCTCAGTTAGCTGCCAGACTGCCACAGGTCTGCCTGTGAAACAAGAAGTGCATAGGAGCAAGGGGCTACTTTTAAATAAGACACTGCTTAATAGCATAGTGGTTAGATTGTTGGACTAGGACCTTGGAGAACAGTGTTTGCATCCCCGCCTTGCCATGAAGCTCAATGGGTAACCCTGGGACAGTCACAATCTCTTAGACTAACCTACCTAAAATACTTCTTATTGCCAGTCTGAGAAGGAGGAGAGGAAGAGGCTGAGGTCTTTCTAAATCAGTTTCAACTTTCTTAAAATGTGACATTTGTTCTATGGTCTCACTCAGGCTCAGGATGTTGCTGAACTACAACTCCCATCAGTAATAATAATAATAATAATAATAATAATAATAATAATAATAATAAATTATTTGTACCCTGCCCATCTGGCCGAGTTTCCCCAGCCACTCTGGGCGGCTTCCAACAAAGATTTAAAATACATTAAAAAATGACTGATGGTCAGGAATGGTTGGCTTTGTAACTGAGAAACATCTGGAGGGATGAAGGGGTTCCTCACCACTGCTGGAGAGACAGCAAAGAGGAATGAAACATAGCTGGTCTCCCCTCACCACGAAAGTCCTACCTGGGGCATTTTGTAGATGCCCAACATGCTTGAAATCTGGCTGGAGATTTCAGAAGAAGTTGCTTCAAAAACAACCAACACGTCCTTCTGTCTTCCACAACTGTATATTTGAATACTGTCTAGCAGGGCATCGGCAGCTGTTCTGGCATCAAAAGCAGCCTCATAGATGCTATAGCCCAGGGTGACATTGGGTAAAAGCTTAGGGACGCTGGTTGATCTCCTGGATGGCAAACAAGGTGGACAGGATTGGTGAGGTGTTAATTGGTGATGGACTGCAAATAAATGAATAAACAAACAATTGTTTCAGCCTCCCACTGTCCATTAAATGAAAACAAAATAATGTACTCCTTGTTCTATAAGAACATAACAAGATCCTGTTAGTTTTACATCTAAGGGGTCAAAGTCTGCATCTAGGAAGGAGCAGAATCTTGTCCAGGTGCTCCAACAAGGAAAGAAGTAGCATTTAGGTGAATTAGGTGAATGTAGCTTAGATGAATTAGATTGGAATAACTATCTACAGGATGAGAAGATATGAAAGAGAGAGATAGCAGTCAATTTGTCTGAAGAGAAAGCCACTTCCGGCCTGCCCAGGCGGTGGGGTTGCAGGCTTCACGCCCACCCCTCACGTGAGCGGGGGCTGGTTTCAGCCCCCGCGAGAGCAGGGGGTCTGCCCTATTTAGGGCCAGCACGGAGGGGGCTCGCCCTCTTTTCGCCGGCTAGCCCCCAACTCTCCTCAGGGTTCCTTTTAAAAAAGATCTTATCTGCGTTGCCTGGAGCTTTCCTGCCTTGCTTCTTTGTTGCCTTTGTTCTTGAGCTGCAGGGCACCTCGTGGAACATGCTGTAGCTTCACAGAAAAAGCTCCCTTTCTTTTACAGAGAATTTCCAGCATTCGCTGCTGGTGTTGCTTTATTTCTAAACTGCTTGATGTTCAGGAGTTGTTATCTTTAGTTTTGGAGCTGAAACCAATTTGGGGCTTTTCTCCTTCTGGGGGTTTCCCCCTTTGCGCTTCATTCCAGCTGCTGCAGTTTAACACCGGAGCTGTAATTGAGCTAAAATCACTGTGTGTGTGTTTGTGTGCTTTCCTTCCAGCATCTCTTTCACGTCTACAGTTTTACAGGGAGCTCTGTGTGTTTCGGTGCAAGTTCCCTGCCCTCAGGAGCTTGCCGTGCCTGCTGCTGCATGCCCCCTTCAGAGGAATTTATTCAGCTTTGTGGAGTTTTTTCTGGTGAACCGTTGCTTGCCCTCGGCTGCTGACTGCCTGTTCTGCAAGGAGCTCAAGGAAGAACGTTTGGCTCCTCTTCGTTAAGTTGGTATAGTCAATTCATAGTTATAAGGAAAAAGAGATCTGGGTTTTATATCATTTGATTTATTAAAGGGCTTCTTCGCCTGCAAAATAATCTTTGCATACAGGTTTATAGGGAATCTAAAGTAAATAGCTCATGCCTCTTCTACGTTCATCTCCTTCTGGTATTTCATCTGTTAGTCTATAAGTATATATTTAATCTGGCAATTTAATTCATTTGGTTGATTTTGATAATAGTGCTTAAGTGCTCTTGGGAGCTTTGCTTTGCTTATAGGTTTGTTGCATAAGTCAATTTATCATTTTTCACTGCTGTATTGCTGGGTTACAATTTATAATTCTACCTCTAGCTTGCTGCATAGCTGCTTACATTATCAAAGGTTCTCTTCTGTTTATTATAGACTCAGTATTCCTCTAAATACATTGCTTTGAGGTGTAGGCTGGTATTTTGGACTGCTATCCAGTGCAGATAATACTGAGCTATGGTGATATTGTTTGCAGCTAAATGCAATTTGTGGGAGATTAGCTAGGCATCTTTGGGTACTTTAAACTTACCAGTGCAGACAATACTGAACTACCGTGATATTGCTCGCAGCTCACGCATATAATCCAAGCTAGTTGGCGTTGAATTTACCAAACCAGGCTAATTAGGGTATCAAACTATGTCTGCTCAAGAGAACCAGCAAAATGCCGCTATATCTGGGGTGGCACAAGGGAACCAGGAAGTGTCCCAGGCCTTCGTAGTGCCTAGTAACCCACAGCCTTTGGCACAGTTGTTCTATGCTTTTTAGACATTTTATAGGCAATATAGGCCCGCAGACGAGGTGGCAGCGGTACCTCTGGCGCTCACCCAAGAATGCATCCCGGATACGCCACCTAACGTTGTGGACCGCCCCGGCGCCACCGCAGCAGTGCTGAGAGCAGCCAATGATTCAACTGTGGGTCCCGTGCCCTGCAACCCACAGGCCTAGTCAGTGTTTCCTCTGCTTTTGAAACCTTTTACCAACAATTCAGGCCCATGGTCACTGCGGCCTCTTCCCAAGTAGTGAGTACTTCCATCCAGCAATGAGGAGCTCCTTATTTAGGGTTCCACATTCGGGTAGCAATCCATTTATGCATCCTCACACATAATTTACAGTCTAAGTGTCCCTGAGTTTCCAATGACAGATCCTCGGGAGGTAGGGCTCAGGCTTACAATTATAACCTTTCTGCCTCTCAGTATACCCCAGACTTTCCCAGTATTCTACAGCATTCACAACCTCAGTCTTTACCGCGAAAGGGGGCTCCGAAACATCATCGGAGGAAGAGACGCAGGGGCAACAGGAAGTGGCAGCGGCTGCAGAATAGCACCAGTCTCCAATGATGGGCACGGGAAAAAGAAGTCTAAGTAAGAAAATCATCCGGCCAAGAAGAGCAAAAGAAGTAAGCCTTCTGATGCCGAGGACGATTCAGAAAAGCTTCCTGCTGCCCACCACCTGCTGGGTTCCGAGCAACCAGAATTACTGGATGGAGCATATGGGTCCCTATGTGGAAAAAGGAAAATTGGAAAATTTGAAGCTAAGCGAGTCCCTCACCATGAGGTTTGCTGGGAGTACAACACGGGTGTGTGCCAGGGGCCAAGTTGTAAGTATGCGCATGAATGTGAGAAGTGCCTAGGTAACCACCCAGCGTCTTCATGTTTTAAAGGTAAACAGCCTTTCCGGGCAGCAGGGGGGCATTTCCACCAGGGGTCTTGAAAAGCTCACAGACCCGCCAAAAAGAACAGCCACAAACTGGTATGAATTTGGCCCTTGACTGTGATGTTCTCTTCTGTTAAGCTCTCACCTCTTAGAACCCTTCTTGATAAATACCCTAAAATAGAGGCAGCAAAGTACCCTGGGAAAGAGTTTCTCTTATGGCTTCTGATCCTCGTTTCATTACCCCCTAACTCAGGGAACCCTCCCCCCCAAACCAAAGAATCAGTTTGGGAAATGCCAGCTATTGCAAAAAAGAAATTAAAGAAATTTCTGGCCGGGAGGGTGGCCGGCCCCTTCAGGGAGCCACCTATAGCTGGGTTTACTCATTTCACCTTTAGGCATTGTCCCCCCATAGACTCCAGGAGAGTATCCTATGATCCACAACCTACCCTACCCTAGAGGTGGCTCAGTCAATGATGCAATACCACAGAAGCCTTGTTCTGGGAAGTATGCCTCCTTTGATCAGGCTATAAAGCGTATGCGCAGGTTCAGCAGGGCGCGCTCTTGGCTAAGTGCGACATTGAGTCGACTTTCCGTCTCCTGCCAATTCACCCTGAGGAATTTCTATGGCTAGGTTTTGGATTTGAGGGGGCTTATTCCATAGACAAATCTATGCCGATAGGGTGCTCAGCAGCTTGTGCAGCCTTTGAGTCAGTTAGTACAATTTTGGACTGGGCTCTTCGCCTTAGAACTGGTTCTGAAGGGGTGACCCATTACCTCGATAACTCTTCCCCGCCCCCATCATTAGTAATAGCCCTGATTGCGCTTCTCCTTTAGAGGCTTTCACCTCCCTGGCTGAGGAGCTTGGGGTACCTTTGGTGGCAGACAAACATAGGGTCCAGTTTTGACCATAACCTATTTTGGGTATTGAATTGGACACAATTGCACAGACATCCCGCCTACCAAGGGAGAGGCTAGCATTAATTCTGCAACTTCTTCCCCTCAAGAAGATCACCCTTGGCCAGAGTCAATTCACGCTTCGGTCACCTCAACTTTGCATGCTGGGTAGTGTCCCCTGGCCGCCCCTTTTGTGGGCGATTGGCTACGCTGTCAGCGGGACTGCGTGCTCCGCAACACTGGGTGCGCCTCTCTAAAGTGGTCAAGTCAGACTTGAAGGTTGGGTTGAAGTTCCTGGAAAAGTACAATGGCATTTGCGTGTTGACGAGTTCAGGAATCACCAGGTATCCTTCTGGACCGACAAACGGTTGTCAGTGTCCCGTCAAAGCAATTCTCGCACTCTCCTAGATCTGCCCCGGACCTTTGTCCTTTTGTGCTTAGAATTAAACATCTATTTCTCTACCAAATTTACCCCTAGGGTTGACAATGACATCACAGATGCTCAGGCGCAGCAAATTGCCACAGCCATTCTGGGAGCACCTTTGGAGCCTTGGGAACGTGATGTCTTGAAGGGAGTATTAGCTCCAGGAGCCCCGTCCACGCTTAGATCTTTTAAAAAGGCTTGGTTGGACTTTACGAAGTTCCAAGGCAAATAAATAAATAAATAAATAAATAAATAAATAAATAAATAAAAAATTAATGAATAATATATAATGAATGAATGAATGAATGAATGCTAGGCTTGACACACCTCAAGGCAAATTAGAAAATCCTAGGCTTGACACACCTACCAAGGCTGAACCTCTGCAATACTTGGTACATTGGAGGGTGCTGGGTCGTGCAGCAAAGACTCTTAAACATCCAGTAGGCGGCAATCTCCCTTTTTCTGTAAGGTTGTTTAATCCATAGACCCTGGTGTGGACTTCTTAGTGTGAAGGGCACTGTAGGGCTGCTGTTCAGGGAAGTTGTTGTTTTTTGTTTTGTTTTTTAATGAGTGATATTTTAGTGTATTTTTGGTTTCTATGGAAGCCGCCCAGAGTGGCTGGGGAAACACAGACAGATGGGCAGGGTACAAATAATAAATTATTATTAGTATTTATTATTATTGTTGTTGTTGTTGTAGGGCTGGCGCAGGCTGCAGCCTCCTAAAAGTGGTGGTAGAAGACCCTTATGACATTTTATGCCAATTTCCAAAATAATTAAATAATTAAATAAAATTAAAATATTAATAATAAAATAAAATAAGAAGTATCTGTTGGTCCGAGGACAAGGCCCGGTTATTTTCAGCTGCATACTCCATTGCCTTTGGCGCTATGCGCATTGGCGAAGTGGTTTGTAAGGGCCAACCAGAATCCGCTGCCCGGGGTTAGTTTGAGAGACCTGACCTTGTTCAGATCCAGTTTAGCCCTGCATGTCCAATGTTCCAGAACCGATCAGCAGTAAAGGACACTAAACATTTCATGTACGTGAGACCATCCGTCTCAGGTCCATCCCTTATACACTTGGATGGCTCCTGCCTTGCACGGCATCAGTCCATGCGCATTATGCGAAGGGAGATTGCTGCCTGCAGTTTATCCTCAGCTGAATTCGTGGCTAACTCCTTTAGGATTGGGGCCGTCACCACAGCACTGCATTTGGGACTCTCAGCTGAAAGGATGAAGGACTTGGGGGCAGTGAAAGTCTGATGCATTTAAGGGATATATTCGTAAGACTTTGTGATTGTTCACAGTATACTTGACCTGGCTTCGTTACCTTCTTTTGCTTTCAGGTGACGTTGTGGTGCACATTTGGATTATAGGCCCTGCACTGTCCACTGGGATAGAAACCATGCCGTTAACGGGGACCCTAGGGTGCAGGAGCTATGAGGGCGCGCATCTGGATAATCGGACACAGCATTGTGCATTGGGCCAGGGTCCGCGCCATCAATTCCGGTCTCGGGCCGCACCTTAACTACATCAATATATCTTGGATCTATCGGAGGGGAATGCGCTGGGCCGGAATGTTGCCCGCAATTAGGGCCAGAGCGGCAGCGGTGGGCCCCCCCCGGATGCTTTAGTTATCCAGTTGGCGAAAAGGATTTAGCTTACAGAAAGGCAGTTGACTTGGTGTGGCATCTCTTTAGTGACTTTGAGGAACTTAAGGCCTCTTATCCAAACATCACCATTCTTTGGGCCTTGTTGATGGAAAGCCGGGTTTGGAGAGAGAGCAGGTGCCCGATAGCCACAAATAGGGCTAGGAAAGCCTTGGATCGGGCGGTGGTGCGTAGAGTGGCAGCCCTGGGTGGGTGGGTCACTGACCACCCGGGCAACTGTGAGGCCCTCTACCGGTTGATGGAAAGCCGGGTTTGGAGAGAGAGCAGGTGCCCGATAGCCACAAATAGGGCTAGGAAAGCCTTGGATCGGGCGGTGGTGCGTAGAGTGGCAGCCCTGGGTGGGTGGGTCACTGACCACCCTGGCAACTGTGAGGCCCTCTACCGGCTTGATGGCGTGCATCTTTCGGATGCGGGAAATGATATTTGGCTTGATGGCGGGAAATGACATGTGGCTGACTGATATAGCAAAGGGTGTAAGGGATTGGTTTCAGGCATGAGAGTATTGGCGACGAGCGATTGCTCGTGTGGCGGTAGGCATTGGTAAGAAGGGGTTAAGAGGATGTGTGGGGGGGGAGGAACGCCATCACCTCCCCCCAGTGAGCGAAGGGTGGTCCGTTAAAGGACTCCGGGGGGCGTGGCCCTGTCCGAAGCCTATGGAGGTGTGGGCCAAAGGCACGCCCCCGAGCGGTGACCCGGGGGAGCTCCTAGTCGACGTGCCTCGGCAGGAGACTCCCCCGATATAGTGTTAACCCTTCCCCGTGTCTCCAGCAAATGGGCTGGAGCCGGATAGTCGTTAGGACCAATGCCTAAGCCAATGCCTCTCATTCCTGAATTCAATAAAGTTGTGGCCTAATTCGCCCATTTAACCTTAAGCTATGGTGTCTCGTGTCTTTATTTATCCTGGTGGGGGGCGGGAACTCGCCACGCAACTGGCAACAAAATTACAGAGGTTTTAAGGACAGAGTCAACTAAGACCCATAGAATGCAAACAACTGCTGGCTAGGTAGTTAGATAAGCAGTGTCCTTGTGCATTAACTAGAAGCTCAGAATAATGGAATGCATACAGCCCAACATTTCTCAGATGAAAGTAAGGATGCTTCTTATTTTCCTTACAACTGAACCTCAGTAAACCCCCCCCCCATATTTTCCTCCTTCTACCCCAAAGCATTTTCCATCTGAAGTAGGGCAAGTTCCACCACCACAGTAGGACCATTCAAGAGAGTTTGGAGGGAAAGAGGTGGTCTCCTTACTTGCATCCTGATTTTTAAACTCCCATTAAACCCAAAAAAATTAATTGCACAGTGGATTTAGTACATGCAAAACCTTTAGGATACTTAAGTTAGGCAGTTCTGTTGGGAATGGGTATGTGGGGGTGACGTTGTGCAATGGCATTTAATTTAAAAATGCCCTTTCTTCATAAAAATATTTTTAGAAACCAAATTGCCCCATAATGTGTTATCATTAAATGGAGCTATTCAGAATGGGTGTGAGACGATCAACTGGGCTCTGGGGGCTGCCTTTGTATTAATTAAACTGAAGGTCAAAACAGGGAAAGGGTTCAGAATTAACCTCCCTGTTTGCAGGACACCAGGGGGTCACTAGGTACTTGGATGCTGATTCTCAATTCCCAAATCTTTTCCCAAAGGCAATAAAGGGGCAAAGGAGGCAGAAGATTTTATATGAGATGGCCAGAAATTAGGTGCTGTCTCTTGCAAATAACAACTATTGTGAATGCAGGATAGGTAATTTAAAAGCCAGTTACCGCACAAAATTGTTTCTGGGGCGCCGGGAGAAGTCAGAATAGGAAATTCCAACACCTAGTCTGATTATGACCCCACTAATGAGGTGGTCTCCTGTCCTGTAATAATTCAACGGATCATGATCCTTTTTCAGATTTAATGGACATTTTGCTTTCAGCACCCCACTGGCTCCATGGGGCATTGGCAGCAGAAATAGCAGCATCAGTAATAGCATCCTGGCTATGCGTGCATACGTCAAACACTCTTGTGACAGCAGTGACATTAGTAGTGCAGCTGGTCTCCTACAGTAGCTTCAGAAG